GTATATCTGTGTCTCTATTTGGCATTAATCTGTACAAACCCAATAATCAAATTTTACACTTTTTAGATCTCTCAGTGTCAGAGAAAAGTGCCTTGAGCATAGAAGGCTCTCAATATATATTTGTCAAATTAAATTAAATAATGACATTTAATTAAGTGGAAAATTAGAGGGAGTAAACAATTTTCAAATGACTATATTTAAATATTTTTCAAGTGTTATTGCAAATGTCTTGTTCAAACAAAGTAAGTGATTAAGACTACCCATACAATTTCTCAATTTTGCTTTCTTACTCAGGATTGTTTATTAGTATCAGGATATTTTTCTCAGTAATAAATAATTTTATATCTACTTATAAACAAGTGATATTTAATCTTAGCTTCATATCAGAACCAGGCATAAGGCTTTTTAAAAATTATTACTACCCCAGACACACTCCATACCTTTTGAAACAGTATTTGTAGGCTTTGTACATTGGACATCTTCATTTTTAAAGTTCTGCAGGTAATTCTGATTTATAATGATGATTGAAAACTATTCCTCAGATCATTACTTTCTATAACTAAGATGTAAGATTAACTCTGGAACATACTCTAAGCTTACATTTTATTAAATAGGTTATTTACATTTTAGACTATGTCACAGTATTGGTTTCTAAGAGATCCTGAGTTTTGGTAGAAAGAAAGTCATTTTATTTGTTTTTATATCACTTAGTTGAAAACTTATTTTGCTGCCTACTCTGATCATAGTGTATCAACAATCAGGAGAAAAATGAAGAGATCATTTACTTTATATAAGCCAGCTTGATGTAATTTACTGATACTTAATTTATATTTTATAAGGAGGTTATGATCATTTGATTTATGCTATGGTTATTTTGTCCATTTGTCTCTTGGAAAATCTTAAAGAAGATTCTGGCTATGTTGCAAATAATGATATCTCCACAAAAAGAAGTTCATTTATAATTCTTCTTTAACATTCTTATTGTGTATCTTAAAAAAAACAGTGAGGTATTCTAGAATTTGACATTATCACTGTGCTTATCATAATCAGCTCCATTTCTCTTGAATTTTAGTAATTTATTTTATTTTTATTCATTCTTTTTTTATTTAAAAAATATGTACTGAATGATGATGACATACCACACTTTATGCTAACCACTGTGTTTGATGGACAAAACAGACATGATCTCTGCCCTTATGGAGTTTAGAAAATGGTAAGGATTGATAAGGAGAATTATACACACACACACACCTCCCATACCATGTGATTAGGATATAAGAGAAAATAAATGGCATGATGACTTTTACAGAATGATCTATACCGGGATCAGGAGTGGAAGGATGAGTTGGGTCAGGCCTCCCTGGAAAAGAATAGACAGCTGAGACCCAAAGTGTGAGAAGAAGTTATCAAGGTAAAGAACAGGGGAAGGAGTATTCTCAGCAGAGAGAACAGCATATACCTAAAGCAGGAAAGATCTTGGGAAATTTGCAAAATTGAAAGAAGACTGTGGTGACTGAGGCTGGTGCTTTTATCTGCTTCTCAGCTTCATGAAATGTGATTATATGATTATGGCTCATTACAAAAAAACAATAGCACACATTTTTGGCATGCTGGTTATGTGCTGGACATTGTTTCAAGATTTAATTATTTAATTGTCGCAATAGCCATTTGAGGTAGATACTATTATCAGTACTATTTTACAGGTGAGAAAGCTGGTATTCAGATTGCCTAAGTAACTTCTTCACCGTCACAGAGCGAGAAAGTAGAGGAGTGGGGTTTCAGGCAATCTGTGTAGCCAATGTGAGCAACCAATACTGTAAAATGAAATCTCTAGAGGCCTGATGTGGAAAAGTCTAATAGCTATAGTGTATGATTGAGGACTGCTCACCTAAAGCAGTGCTTCTCATTCAGAAATCCCATGTGTACTAGAGCACCATGATGCCATTACAGGTGTGTCCTCAAAGATCGGGACACTCCCTCAGACGCCAAGGTACAGGCCACTCTTGCTTGGATGTCTTGGGCCTCTTTTTGTCTCCTCTCCTAATTGAACACTCAGTTTTCTTTCCACTTCTTTAAACCATAATCTCAGAATTTTCTGGGCAATCACAATAGTATTGGGGCTTATCTCACCTTTTCTCTTTAGAATTGAGACTAAGCATCTTGTTTACCAATGTCTTTTGTTTCTCTCCAACAACACAACCTATACCCAACACACTGCATGGATGTAGTATAGAGTTTTATCATGTAATGAATTCATTTTAGAAAGCTCTAAACACTTTTCAAAATATTTATTTATTTATTTATAGTTTTGAATTAAATGGCATCATATAATTTGGAAATTACATAACTTCACCTGCAGGTCTAGACCTAAACCTCATGTCTACTCATGTACTCTCTTTAATAGTCCTCGTATTACCTTTCTGGTCTTTGAATTTCAAATTCAATGGTTGTTTAAATTTCCTTGCTTCTTGTGTTTTTCATTATTAGCAGCATTAAAAATTTCAACCTTAGAATCATGTTTTCATCTATGATGATTTCATTTATTGCATAGCAATTGTTAAAGTATAAATTCCTGATCACCAAAAATAGCAATAAAAATACTAATTCTGAATGAGAGGTAGAAAGCTTTTAAAGAATAAAATGTGCTCTGTTTTCAGCTTATTACCCTCACCCTCTTGTTTTTACACTATCGATACACTAGCCAGAGGAAGTATCAGGTGGCTGAATGTTATTTAAGTTCATATAGGGAATGCCTCTTTTCCCTCTGTGTTCTTGTCTTTCAGTAATTTTTTCAGGCTTGTCTAAATATGTTGTGTGCTTCCCACTGTGCTGCTCCTGTAAAATAATTGATTTTTGTCCATGAAAAGATTACTAGCACCAAATGCCATAGTACATGTTCTTTCCCTTGATGACTAGTCGCACTTTAGCTTGCAAATGACTATGAATTTGATTACTGTTTCAGAAAAATCA